AGCAGCTCAAAAACATTAAGGTGGAGGGAGGTGGCAAAGCAGTAGGGGTGGCATTACATATTTTGTGGCTTTAGTATTCCAATATTGTCTGAAACGATTTTTCTCGCATAGCCCATTTGGCCCACAGAAATGTTTTCTATTAGGAAATGCCAGCAGTATGAATAAAATATGTGTTAGAGCTGAGAGGAAAGGGGCAGAGGGACTAAACAACCTCCCTCTCCCTTCCCTAAATACTCACACACACTCTGAACTCAGTTCTCACGGGTTATTTGGAAGTCAGCTAATTGTGGTTATCTAGCTTCCAGGTGCTTGAAGCACTTTTGACATGAGGATGAAGGGACATCCAGGAATATCTAATTTGTTAAAAAGGGCAGTTATCATGAATTTATGCACTAAGTACCTGCCTCAGGGACAGCCTCTTCACATTCTTAGGAGTGTAATACTGAAAGGACAGAAAAGGATATAGGAGTAAAAATAAAGGGGTTTTTTGTACAAATCTTACCCAAATCCTTAAAAAAAGGGGGGGAAGGAAATTAACATAACAGGGCACCTTAGGCAAAACATCAAGTTAAACTAATACCTGTCTGCAATTCAATCAGTAGCAAGGAAGTTTTAGGGAACCATTCTGGAAGGATAACACATTTACGGGGTAGATAATTGACATCGATTTTAGCAACATGGTGTATCAGCTCACTTCTTCAGCTACCTTCTCCATCACAACGCATCTCAGGTTAACTCTCACTCTCTTCAGCAGCCAGAAAATAGATCCTCACCCTGATCAAGAATTATTTCAGAGTGACTGTAATGATGCAATGGCTTTGACAATAAGCAAAGACACAAACTTTTACTTCCACTGTTTCCATAGTTGTCCTCTTTTAGCATAAAATATTTGTAAAACACTTTGAGGAAGTAAGTAACATTCAGTTTGTTAAAGTCTAGGAGAAAAGGGATCCTTTTGTAGCAGTGCTCGTCAGTGATATCTCGGTATTTAGCTGCATAAGATCACCATTAACACCTTTGTTAGCCTAACAAAAGAAATTCAGTTATCACTTCGTCTCATTTGTATGTGCAAAAGTCAAAGGGGAAGCAGAATTCAGATCATAAGGTAAGCTACTAAATTTAACAGAAGCATTTGTATAGTACAGCTCAGAAATAAACCTGGCCATACTCCAAAGAGTCATGTCGTTATCTGGTTACCCAAAGGAGAGCACCACAGCATGAAGTCAGCTCTATAAGCAAATTACTGCACATATTCTCACACCCCTGTTTAATCAAGTAAATCCATTTGTGTCTCAGTTATCCCTCACAGGCAGATATTGGAAAATACAAATTTTTTTGCTAATATGCTTGTACCCTGTCCTGGTTTCAGCTGGGATAGAGTTAACTGTCTTCCTAGTAGCTGGTACAGTGCTGTGTTTTGAGTTCAGTATGTGAAGAATGTTGAGAACACTGATGTTTTCAGTTGTTGCTCAGTAGTGTTTAGACTATAGTCAAGGATTTTTCAGCTTCTCATGGCCAGCCAGGGCACCTGACCCAAACTGGCCAACAGTGTATTCCATACCATGTGACGTCCCATCTAGTTTAGGAACTGGGAAGGGGGGCAGGGAATCGCCGCTCGGGGACTAGCTGGGTGTTGGTCGGCAGGTGGTGAGCAATTGCCCTGTGCATCATTTGTACATTCCAATCCTTTTATTATTACTGTTGTCATTTTATTAGTGTTATCATTATCATTATTAGTGTCTTCTTTTCTGTTCTATTAAACCGTTCTTATCTCAACCCACGAGTTTTACTTCTTCTCCCGATTTTCTCCCCCATCCCACTGGGTGGGGGCATGGGAAGTGAGTGAGCGGCTGCATGGTGCTTAGTTGCTGGCTGGGGTTAAACCACGACATACCCAAATCTGGAGACAATTTGAACCATGTGGCACCCTTCCATGGTCCCAGAATTTGCCAAACTATTCCCTTTACTGAAGGCATATTATGTTGTTCCCATAAGCCAATTGTAAATTAAAATTCAAACTGTAAGTGTCTTCCTGTTGCTTTGTGTATGACTTGCTGTGTATTAAACTATTTATTACAGGAGGTAGTTAATGGAATTCCTAAATTCAGACAGAAAGTCTCAGTAGGGTCTCTTCCCTTCTTACCCCTGCCAGTTGCATGCCCTGGGATAGGGAGGGTGTCAATCATTAACATTTGGGGTAGCCAAAAGGCTTCAAGTATGAAAAGAACTTGCACAGATTTACCTCTAAAAAGTCTGTCTCCTATTCCATGTTCGATGGGCTGCATTTTATTCAACTTACAGACAGAAATTGATGTTGTGGGGATTGTGTTAGTTAGTTAGACCATAAGAATGTCTGCAAGATGGAGCTTTCCAAAGGAGAAACAGGACATGACTACTTTTTGCTTTCTCTCTTTAAGGCTTGGATAATTTTAATTGCAGAAGGAAAAACAATGGAGTTCTTTGCAAAAGCATCATAGAGTGCAGAAACATGTTTCTAGATACCATCCAGGAGACACTACAATTTCACTGAAACTTTTCTGTTTGATTTAAAAAAAAAATCTCAGTGCAGCAACTGGATTTTTTACATAAATAATATAGTACTTGAACCAAAACATCCTCCTCATTTAGCTTTCCAGCTATCCTCCACAATAAGTTTAAAAGGTTTAACTTCAAAAGAAAAAGTAACACTGAAACCATGAACAAATCAAAGGCTTACACTTAAGATTTAATTACTGCATTGACATATAAAGAATATTTGATTTGTCAAGGTAACTATAGATTAGTATTTTAATCTAAGCATATTAGCAATTTATAGTAGTTAATACATTATGCAGTTCAGGAACTATAAAATATTAGAGAAGAAATTGGCTAGAAGAATCTCAAAAACTGACCCATACCAATGTCCTGACCTAGGACTGCTGCTACACATCAGCCTGATACCGCAGAGTATCGCTGTCCCTTCCTATAAGTAGTTTTGCCAACATCTAATCTGAATCTCTCATCAAGGCCAAATCCAACTCCTCTTTAACTTACTTACAAAAGCCATCAGTAGAAACAACTTCTTTCTTTTTGCCAAATAGCCTTCTAGATACTTGAAGAGTCTTATGTCCCTCTTTAGGTCTTGGAACCTCAGTTTTACTGGGTGGTTTTGAGTGATCTTTAATCCTTTCCTCAAAATTACACATTAATATGTGTTGATTTTAATTGGGTTCTATTTTTTATTTCTACTCTGATAGATGCATTCCTTACCAGGATGGCAGGCAAGTTTACAAGTAGATAGTGTCATTGACAGCCTGGGATATAGGTTTTTGGACATTTCAAGAGAAACGGAGAAAACCCCTTTAAATCAAGAAAAGCAAAGTATTCCCATTCTGAAGCTAACCTGCAACCAGTTCCAGCCTGTAATTCAAGGGAGACCTAGGAACAAAGAGAATCTAAATATAAATCAAAAGAAGTATGCTAATATTGACTTACTGTAGAGTAATAAAGTCAGCAAGAGCACTACTGGAAATGTCATCTTCAAAGAATCAGGGGGGAAAAAAAAAATAAAAGATTAAAGCTTCAGAGGCTTTATCAACACAGTGAGGAGAGGTTCATGTTACTACATGGATGCTACTATATTGTTTGTTTGTCTGTAATTTGGAAAGGCTTTTGTACATCAGTAAACCAGAAGATTTTAATTTAAAAACTTCTGCATGGAAATACCATCCTCATCACTTACTGGAGTGCAAAAAAGCATTTTGAGATAACTGGATTCTACCTGTAGTCCACAAAACCCAGTAGCATGTCTTCACTGTGAAATGGGGAGTTAGGCAGAGAGAAACAACATCAAACAATCCAAGAGAGTCTATTCACTAACTTCTACACTGTATGAGCAAGTATTTCTGTACTCTTTACAGATGTGAGCCAGTATCTCCACACAGCTTTTTCACTTTGGCCAACACAGCCTTGGGAATCTCTGCGCTTTATTCCACCACAGAGAAGATACTGCAGTATGTTTCCTTCCAAAAAATGACTAATACCAAAAATTAGTTCTTGAAAATGAATCAATACTCCTAACAGTTAAGGACAACACTAGCCAAATACTAGGGGGGTAAAAGATTTCTAGCCTCAAGACACACAAAACATACTCTTTTCAGGGTGGGGAATGCAGGCAAGATTTGGCTGGGGCATGTGTGCAGGGGGGAATCTTCCCATAGTCTTTCCCAGCAAGCCAAATTAGCTTATTATAACCCAATGCACAATGAAATTGCATAGGCATTTCCCCCTCCTATTCTGTCACAAGAGGATGCTACGCACACTTCTTCACCTCAGTTGCATACATGGAGACATGGTCACTAAGCAAGAAGAGGTACTAAAACTAATCCCATCCCTGGAAACATTTAAGGTCAGGTTGGACGGGGCTCTGAGCACCCTGATCTAGTTGAAGATGTCCCTGCTCATTGCAGGGAGGGTTGGACTAGATGACCTTTAGATGTCCCTTCCAACCTATTCTATGATACTATTTAGAACTCTGTAGGTCACAGCCAAAAAACTGAAAGATACAGTCTCCCTACAAGAAAGCAAATATTCAAGCCACATAAAACAGAAATTCAGTTTTCCTATCAGCTTATTGTTGAGCTTTTCACATTACCTAGCCCACAAATGGCTCGATTTATAAAAACAGACTGGAATGTACTGCAGTAGGTTAGTATCAAAATTCAGCCTTCTACATGTCAAGTGTGAAGTCTCAGCTACTCAAGTTAGGTCAAAAGATGGATACAAGATCATTATTCTTTTCTTGGTGACCATGCTATTAAAGTTTCACAATAATCCTTGTCACAGCAAAGGCACACAGGATGAACATAGGCAATATAGAAAAGTTGGGGAAAAAATATGTTGTTTCCAAAAGATTTCCACAGGACATACCAATTTTATGCAACTTTTCAAAGCTCAAACTCGTTACATGGCCCTATAAAGGATTTTAAAGGCATAACAATATAAAACATTTAACCACCTACCAGCATTAACGATGGCATCAACCTCAAGCAGTGTAATGTCACCTCTATAGAGAGAAACTTTCTCACTCAGACTTTTCTTCCCTTGCAGATCTTCTTTAGTGTTTTCACCTACAAAGCAAGAAAGCAGTAAAACCTGGTTACAAACACCAGTCTGAGATCTCTATTTACAAGTCCAGAGCAGGCATCAGCAGTTCCAGTTACACTACTGCTGTCAGACTGCAGCATCTTTCAGTTTTGCCTCGAGAGGGCACCGGTAACCCACAAAGATACCAGCATTTCACTAAAACACACTACATGCTTTGCTTTTTTTTTTTTGTCAAATACAAGCTACTGCGAAGCACTGATTCCTTGCCCACATACCATTTGATTTAAAAACTGTATAAATATACACATTTTTTGGAGCTAGATCCATCAAAGAATTTTCTTTGGTAACCACAAGACTGCAAGTTACAAAAAAAAAAAAAATATGAAGAATTAGTTAAGATAATCCTCCTACTGAAGCAATAATTTACCCAACCCAGAATTATTCCGAATGCGCACAACAACATGCAAGCACGCCATTTGCCAACAGCCCCAAAATTCAGAACTAGCCCTGGCAGCAGGTAGTAGGAAGAAGAAAAACCCGAAAACACCAGCAAATATAAACTTGGCTTTGCTACCTGAAATTGCTCAACTAGAAGGGGGCGTGAAGACAACATACATCAGCTTTCAAAAGATTTGTTACTAAACAATGTTAAAATAGGTCCCCTTATTCTGCTAAACTCTTCATTTCTGCATCACCAATTCACTTCATTTGCATCATACTCAATATATATAACAGTTCAGTTACCCCAATCACTTCTACAAACACTTATTGGCCAAAAGCTTAACCTAGTCTTGCTCTATTAGACATCCACATCATTAGCAAAGAACTAAGGAGAGAAAAAAAGACTGCTTAACTGACTTTTTTTTTTTTAAATCAATTCTTTCCAACACAAGCCAAGCATCTCAAGAGGCTTGAGCTTATATATTGGCCAGAAATAGAACTAAATTGCTAAGGTGACAATTTAAATGGGAAACAGTTCCCAATCTTCAGAACAAGTGAAATTTATTTGTAAGTAAAAAAATCTCAAGCGAAGATTTAGCAAGAACGTAGAAGCAGTCCAAACAAATTTGGCCCTTTAGTATTTACATTGACCTTCATTTAATCAATTTCCACCAATTCAAGTATACCTGCTCAAATTTGTCAGCATTACAAGCAACCACAAGTAGAAATAAAAAAGTTGCATTTATTTTAGATCTTGCTCTTCTAATTCAGCACAAATGACTGGTATCAGAAATCATCGTTTATCTCAACCACTCCAAAATAACTAGTCTCCCTCAGTTCTACTTTAAATCAGCTATCACATGCTCCAGCAAAAGATATGTTGCCACTATGACATAACACTAGCATAAAGGTAGTCTTGTATCCAAGTGTGCATATTCAGGAGTTCAGTTTCTGTATGTGGCTCCTAAAGCTACTATTTCATTGCCACCAGATCACCCTCAGTGCCTTAACCAAAGCAAAGAGTGTTTCTGCAGAAAGGTAGCAAGTTTCTATTATCATAATAAGAACGTTGTATCACTCTAACCTAAAAGTCATACTGTTCATCCATTTTTCCACAGAAGATAACCATTGCAGTTAGCTGTCGAGTTGTGTTAAAATAAAAATCAGCCTCTGTGACCGATTTAGAGCCTAATTTATTATCTGCTTTCATGTTAACTGCATTCTCCCAGCAAGTAGGACATTTGTTTTCCCCATCCCTCCCCAGTGAGCATCCTACTGGAGCTCTGCCAAATTTAAACCGCACACCATCATCGTCCCCCTCCCCCTTCTGCCCGAGTTACTGCAACACTACCTAACATCAAATCAAAACACATTGAATTCTTCAAACTAAAATCATTTAAATAGAGAGTACAGCTTGGACACTACAGTATTTGTGCAAATACGATACAAAAACGAATACCAAAAAAAATCCACCAGGAAGAACCATGAAGACAACAGATACCACACAATAAAAAAAGCTAATTCTCATTATCACTAATTTCTCAGTCCGAGGGAAAGCAGACATGTCCCTCGATCAATTCACCAGTAAGGTCATCTAACTCTGTAGGGTGACACACAACACGATGTTGCGCACACTGGCGTTGCCTCCCAAATTTCCATCCTCCACAGCCTTCACAAGTTTGCCTCTAGTTCTCACTCTTTGCAAGTACTGAATATATTTGAGTGTGGTTCTCCTGAGACTCCTTCCCCACAGAAAAGCATTAATAAAGTCACTGCCTAATGAGGGGAAAAGAAAAAAATAAAAAAATAAAAAAAGAGAGACCAAAAACCCCAACCAAAACACACACCACTCCTATATGGTCTACCACATCCTCTTCAACAAGCCCCTTACCTGCCCCACAGTTCTTGGAAGAGCCCTGATCACCACTGTCTTTAATACAGTTCAGCAGTAAAAGCATATGCTGCCTTGTACATCTTTGATAGATTACCCTCATTTCTTTCAATAAAAGTCTAATTTAACAGAGGATTTGAGCTTACACTTTATTTCATGCTGGTTGTTACAGAAGGATGCTCAACACTGACAGAAGTCGTAGAGAGCCAAGTCTCGTCCACAGTCAAAGAGACTCAACAAGTCTACTAATATGCTGCTAATTACAAAAGTAATCCCAATATCACACAAATAGTTGTAGGAGGGACAACCGTTTTTCTTTTGCCATCTCTTAGATCTCTGGGTCTGGCAGACAACATTTCCTAACAAAGTCAAAACTGATACCTGATTTGGGATATTTTCTTCCCCTGTAGTCAATTTAGTCATCTTGGCAGGGACAGTGAAGTCATTCCTGGCCATGACAAATAACTCGCTTCCCACCTTTGTCTCCCATCTCTTCCTTCACCACACACATTTTTGACTGCTTCTCAGATTAAAAAAAAAACTGCACTCATTTACTTCAAAGTGTCTTCCTAAAGTAATGATAAATCTCAGGTTGGGGAACAAGTACAGTAAGTCCTCAAATACACCCAAGAAACTCAAATGCTGTAGGTATTATGCTGTAATTCATGGTACCATAACTCAGCAAGGACAAACCAGCAATTCCAGAGTATTATGTATTTCACAAAGGACACACACCATGTGTACATACTAGCACATTAATAAAATCCTAGCAATGACAGATTTACTTGGCACATGTAGCATAATGAGAATATTTCTTGCTCTCATTAATGAGACAGCTTTACATACATGCTCAAGAAATAAATCCTCTGAAGTGGTTGGTATGTAACCTACTATTGAATACAAGATACAAAACAGGAGTTGAGTCCTTAGACTGAAAGGCCTAAGTTTTTAGAGATAAGAAAGCCTGCTTTCCAAGCAAATCAAACTTTCGAGTCTGTCTCCATATGGGTTGTCCAGAAAGCACCTTAGAAGGCAGAACAGTTGGAAAGCCAGGAAAATTCAGGTATATTCCAGTCCTAAAAAAAACAACCAAACAAAAATCCGCACCAACTAAACTCACACTACATCAAGGTTATGACAAAGTCCATCTCAGTTTTAGATGGAGGCATCACAGACTCCAAGACAAGGAAATATTTTGTTTAGTCTGTGGCTGTGAATATGATAAGTTTTCAGGACAAAGAAGCAAGCAGAATAAGGGAGACTGAATTTTCTGAAGTACCTCCACAGGAATCCCAGCATAGCTACAGTAAAATTTAAGAGGCACTAGAAGATTTTTAAGATCATCCAGCTGGGCAGTGAAGACTGCCTAGGAAGGAAGGCTCCCTCCCTGCTGGAAGAACTGCTCCCATCTCCTTCATCACCACAGCTCTCCTGGCTCAGAAGTAAAACTGAACAGGTAGCAAGCACCTGCACACAAAGTCTGGATGCCTTTAGATCACCGGTTTTAAACAAGCCATGGTTAGTAAAATGCTAAAATAGCTGTCAAAATAGAATTGTGGCAGTGTTAAATATGAACAATAGCTTCTGCTTTATTTTGGGTTTTATCCTTGTGTACCCCTGGGAAGATTGTTTCTGGTGTTCTCCTTCCCTCCCGAGTATCACTCTGTCCCCAGCTTCTACCCCATGTCCATCTCCATTGAAAAAGTAAAAATAGAGCTTTTACTGGGAGACAGTTCTTAAAAAAAACAAAACACCCACACCCCACAAACATGCAAAACTAAAACCCATGGGGAGCTCTCACAAAGCAGTGATAATCAGCATTAGTTTGGCCATCTTCACTCATTCCCAACTCTCACACAATGAATTTCATTAGTCATTTTTCTTCCCTATTCTCAACAGTTGTGCAAACAGTTATGTAGATTGTGTCAACAGTGAGGATTATGAATGGACTCAAACTGCAGTTCAAGCACATTAACATTTCACATATTTCATTACAATCATGTGTGAGTGTCAAAAGCAAATAAACCCTGTTTTCTTTTGTTTAATGTGAATTTTACAAGGTATGTTCATGTAAAGTCTAGCTATCTAATTTCTGAGACAGTGCAATCCCAGAGTCTTCATCCCTGACAACTTCCCAGGATCAGTTAATGCCAGCCCTGCCTCTGGAATAAAGGGTCCTAATTAATTCAAGACCTTGGGCCAAAACCAGCAGTAAAGCCATGATCTCCCATACAGGTAGTTTCAAAACCATTTAGAGCTTTCAGGTTCAGATGAATTCGAAGAATTAATTGGCACACAAAGAAAACTATTAGAGGAGGAAGGTGAATGGAATATCCACAAACTTTTGAAATGCCTTTCTAAATTCCATTCACAGCACAATAGAAACTCTATAGTAAAATTACTATAGGCATAACTACAGTCAGTTCAAATCTATTCATTTGAAAGAAATAAAATTAAATTTGCCAAGTGAGACACTGAAGTATAAAGCAACCCCACATGCACATCAAAAATCTGCATATTCACAAGCAGATGAGGCCCTAACAGAACCCTAAGAAAACAACAAACATGAAAGCAATTCATAAGACTTAAGTTTTGATTTTTTTTCCCAAGTGCCTACTCAGCCTCTCTGCCACTTTTCTGACCTAAAAAATTCACAAACTTTTCTCCTCTGCCTACCTAGCCCTCATTCAC